TGTCAGAATTCATAGAACTATACATTAAAAAGAATACATTTCGGGGCCCTTGGCTGGCTCATTTGGTAGAGTATGCAACTCTTGATCTTGGGATTGTAAATTCAAGCCTCATGTTAGGTGGAAAGATTACTTAAAAATAAAAAATAAAAATCTTAAAAAAAAATAAAGAGGGTGGCTCAGTTGGTTAAGCATCCAATTCATGATTTAGCTCAGGTCATGAACCCATGGTCATGAGATAGAGCCCCACATTGGGCTTCCTGCTCATTGGAGAGTCCGCTTCGTCCCCTCCCTCTCCTCTTTCCCTGCTTGTGTGCTCGCAAGCATGCCCACGTTCTCCCTCTCTGATAAACAAAATCTTAAAAAAAAATTCTCTCTTCCTCTGCACTCCCCTGCCCCTGATCGTACACACGTGATCTGTCTCTCTCTCAAAAATACATACATACAATGAATTTTGCTAAATGTAAATTAAACATCAGTAAACCTGATTTTAAAAAGTATATAGTTAACCCAGAAAAATGGATATATGCAAAAATTTAGTTGTATATTTATTATAGGAAATACAAATGGTTTACAAGAGTAAACCTGCTGGAAGCTACACTAACAGTGAGCACAGCTTAATGTATAAACTTGGGGAATCACTATGCTGTGCAACTGAAACATAACATTGTGTATCAACTATACTGGGGAAAAAAAAAAGTAGACCTAACTCTCCAGCAGCAAAGGAAATGTTATTTCCACTACCATTTTCCAATAATAAAAAGTTATTGTTTATCCATAAAGAACACTATGAGGCTATTTAAAGTATAAAAATAGCCTGAGGGCACCTGGGTGGCTCAGTGGGTTAAGCCGCTGCCTTCGGCTCAGGTCATGATCTCCGGGTCCTGGGATCGAGTCCCGCATCGGGCTCTCTGCTCATCAGGGAGCCTGCTTCCCTCTCTCTCTCTGCCTGCCTCTCTGTCTACTTGTGATCTCTGTCTGTCAAATAAATAAATAAAATCTTAAAAAAAAAAAATAAATAAAAATAAAAATAGCCTGAAAGGTTATACACTAAAATGTAAAAACTATTACCTTTAGGATAGGGTTATAATATACTTTTTCATTATCTGTATTCTCTAACTTTCCTACAATGAACATGGACTGCATGTGACATCATAAAACAAATTGTAAAAGATATTTTTCAAAGGAACACATAACTAAGAAATATACGAGAATGCTAAAGGCCTGTAAGAGAAATATTTAAACCTAATATAAATAAATACCCTACCAAAATAAGCTGAGGCTTATGAAAAGTATCAAGAACAACAAAAATTATTTTGCGTTTTAGTTACATTTAAAGCACAAAGAACCAAAAACAAGACAGGTTCATTATTTGGGGTGCTAGGCTATAGGCCTATAGACTATAAGCTATAGGCTGAGAGTACAAGCAGGATTATTTTTATTTTGCTTTAGTCTTCACTCAAACACAATGATACACAGAATGAGGAGAGTAGAACTGAACTCCAAGATAGTGAGGCGTGAGTAAGAGTACTTTTATTCACTCTGAGTGTGTTTAATTCACAATGGCCCAAGTGACTGCTCCACAACATACCAGAGATCTGCCAGGTGAGCGGACTATACCGCCGCTGGTAATCTGAGAGACACTGGCAAACAGGAGTGGTGCTGAATGACTAGGAGTAGGCAACTACAGTTCTGATTTTCAAAGTCGGGGGAAAGAAAGATTCCACAAACTAGACCAATGAACTTGACATTCATTCTAGGCAGAATTCTCGCTGGATTTATTAAATCCATTCAGAAAGAAAAGCCCTGATCACTAAGTATCAAATCATCACAGACTAATACCCTTACTGGCTTTTGGGAATTTGTATTTCAATCAGGCATCCTGGAAAGTCTTACAATATCCTTGTGGACAGAAAAGAACAATTAGACAGATCAGCTGAACATCATGGACAAAAGACTACTTTTTTTTTTTTTTAATTCAAGACTTCATTTATTTATTTGACAGAGAGAGAGAGACAGCACAAGCAGGGGAAGCTGCAGGCAGAGGGAGAGGGAGAAGCAGGCTCCCCGCAAAGCAGGGAGCCTGACTCGGGGCTTGATCCCAGGACCCTGGGATCATGACCTGACCCAAAGGCAGTTACTTAGCCAACTGAGCCACCCAGGTGCCCCACAAAAGACTGCTTAATGGGTTGAAGTAAATGTACAGACAAGAATCCAGTGATGGCCTGAATGATTGGTCCTCAGTTTGGACTCGTTCAATACTTTATAAATGACTTGGAGGGCACTGATGTGCCTATTTATCCAACCTGCAGCTGACACAAAGCTAAGAGGGAGGAGTAATACAAAGGATAACCAAATCAGGATCCAAAAAGGTCTTGACAGGCTAGAACTCAGTGTCAAATCTAACAAGATGAAAGTTAACAAGGGTAAAATCAAGTCTGACTCTTAAGTCCAGAAAACCAATACAAGTACCAAGACAGGGGAAGCTTGATTTGATGGTAATTCAAGTGGATAACACCTAGCATTTTTAACTGACTGAAATCACAGTTTAGGTCCAAAGTTAGGAAGTTAGAAGTGAGCAGGGCTTAAGCTTCATAAATATTTTCCTTTCAGTTCAACATAAACTTTTGATAGATATGAAAAATGTAACAGGCTACTTCAGGAGGTATGTCTTTCCTGAAGGTCTTCAAGCCAAAGTTAGATAATTCCCTTGGATGGTGAAGACACAGTACTGGAATCCAGTGGAAGGTTTAGCAGAAGAAATGACCCCACACAGTGCCAAGATTCTATAATCTACTCACATATAAGTAGATGTAATTACAATTTACAAACAGAAAGTAAGCTCATTTCAATTGATATAAAGTTAACTCCCTGAAAGATCGGCTGAATAGGAATTTCAAATTTAGGCTCTCTCTCTTTTTTCTCTTTTATTTCCTCCCTTTCCTGTTAATCCAAAGACTCTTACAAAGAACGATAACAGTACTTTCTCACTTCTCATAACTAACTTAAAAATAGTTTAAAACTTCTTATGGAAGTAACATATGCTTTTTATAAATAAAACTAAAACTTTGTGATAAACATAAAATGAAAAGTAATGGCTCCTCTTCTGCTTCTCCCACCCCAAAATATTCCCCAAACTCTACCAGACTCCCCTAACTTCTGAAAGTTTCCTTCTCCAACTCCCTGAAGATTTACTCTGAATACCATGACTACTTTTACTATATGCCATTTGTTTTCTTGCCAACAAGACCAGAAGCTCCTAAAGCAAGATTTCTTTTACTTCTGTGTAGCTCATGTACCAAATAAAGGCATTCTATAGAAAAACAACATTTGGGGCGCCTGGGTGGCGCAGTGGGTTAAAGCCATTGCCTTCGGCTCAGGTCATGATCTCAGGGTCCTGGGATCGAGCCCCGCATCGGGCTCTCTGCTCAGCAGGGAGCCTGCTTCCTCCTCTCTCTCTGCCTGCCTCTCTGCCTACTTGTGTTCTCTGTCAAATAAATAAATAAAATCTTAAAAAAAAAAAAAAAAGAAAAAGAAAAACAACATTTGTTGAACTTTCTGATACTTTTGAAATGAGATATATATATAGATATATAAAGTCTTTCACTTCACATTTAAGTGGACATTGCTTGTTTTTGCCATCCTAGTATTTATCATCTATCTAACCTATTTATCTAGCTCATCATTGGTTTATAGAAATCCATCTGATCGTACTGGAAAAAGAATGCGATCTGACAATCAGGGCATCACAATCCCATAGACATGATTCAACCTACACAAATGAGATACCATTAAATTGAAGGTGAGAGGATATAAAAGGCCAAAATATAGTGCAGCCATCTTGGGACCAACAGAATGAACCTAACCTATCCAAATATGGAACTAACATCCAAAAGAGCAAACCTGGGGGTAAGAGTCTCTGGTGACATAATCTAGCACACCTATTATGTATTATATTCACTCCATTCTTGACTTTTTGACTTCTTCTCCTCCACCAGGTATACTACCCTGACTCTCTAGGTCTTTATCCTGATGCTCAAGGAACTCTTTTCATTAGGTGTGAGAGGTAGAATCTGATGGAGAGAAGAAAAGGAAAGACAACAAAAAAGAATAAAAAACAGAAATGTAAAAAGAAACATACACATATATATGCAAGCAGACTAGGAATGATATATCATGGATCTGCAAATGGTAACAGCATGAAATGCTAAGAGAATGATTGTTCAGGTGTGCAGGTTGGTAGAAGAAAAAGGGCTTTACAGGAAAGGGACATGTGGGTTAATATCTACATTACACATCCATGGTAAACCTCTTGTGCCACTCTCTCTTGGTCACTAACCACAATGGCTAGCTTTCAGTTTTTAAAAACTAAAGATCTTGGGCAGCCTAGGTAGCTCAGTCAGTCGTGCAGAGGACTGGATTTCAGTTCAGGTTATTATCTCAGGGTCGGGGACCAAGGCCCACTTTGGGCTCCAATCTGTAGCCTGTTTAAAATTTTCTCTCCTCTCCCCCTGCCTCTCTTTAAAAACCTGTCTGAAAGTAATTATGCCACTGTCTGATGCTCTTTCCCCAAATCCTCTCATGACTGGCTCTTTTCTCACACTTTCAATCTCTGTTCAAATGCCACCACTTCAGAGATGCCTTTCCAGTCCAACCAATCTAACCTGGGCCTTTCTATCCATCACCTCTTAATTCCTTCAAAGCTCTTAACACCAACTCTATTTACTTAAAATGTTCAGTTTATCGACTCTTTACCAACGGAATGTAAGTTTCCTGAAAGCAGGGATTCCTGTCTTGAATACTTCTTTTTCTTTATACCCAAATTCTGGCAGAGAGCGAGATAGTTAATAAATTATTATTTACTGAAGAGAATGAGTGGTAGAAAGTGAGAAAACTTGGGAGGAAAGTCGGTGGTATAATCAGGCTGTTCCTAAGGAAGGCGATAGGAAGGGGACCAGAAAAGCCAGCTGCGCTGGAGACTGCATAGGGAGCTGAAGGCTTACGTCATTGAGAGTGGAAGGTGTCGGATCAGGGCTTCAGGCTTCCCTTGGCCACCCGTAGGGTGGGCGGCTGGGTGGGCAAAGGGGCATACGCCACTTAGTGCCCAACTTCTGGGCGTCCGCTGTGCGAAAAGCAAACGCTAGGCTCTCTTCAGAACCCCCCCAACTCCCACCCCATAACCTAGGTCCCGCCCCATGGACCTTACGCAGTCGTCTTCCACGCAATCACTAGCCCGTGGACACCAAAGTTACCACCCGGGCCGAGCCCCTGTGGAGCAGCAACAAGTGAGAAAAGACCACCCTCCGCCCGTCCACACAGAAATTCACATACCTGCCCCGCATCCCCGCCCGGGCTCACCCGCCGGCTGACGCGTTTCTCCCCGCCCCCAGCCCGCCCCGCGGCCCTACTTGGGCCCTCACTTACGCTTGTCTCCGAGCTATGAGCCGATGCATGGGAGTCGCCATCTTAGCGCGGCTGAAGACTGCCGCGCTGGGTTTTGGGAAACTCCTCGGAAGGGGCGGGGACTTGGAACCCCGCGTCCGCCTGCCTGGGCGGAGCCAGTGCAGCCTGGAGGGCTTCTGGGGCAACTTTTGGGGTAAGCAGTGAGTGGGTAGGTGGTAAGTCTTGTTTCCTGCGTGTGTCTGTAGTTTAAGAAAGAGGAATGAGGCCGGTTGTCTCACATGTGCGGGCTTTTGAAGGATGAGTACAGGTATACAGTGTGAAGAGGCAGGGAGAAACATTCTCAAATGAGGGAAATATATGTACATATATACATAACCGTGAATAAAACTGTGCAGTGTTCAGGAAGTAGTATGGAAAGCAAAGTAAAAAGGAATGGATGGAGATTGGGACCATAAATTAAAAGACTGACTTTAGTGAACCATCTACTGCAAATATGTTAATTATTTCTATATTTATGTATTTTGTAGGGATGGTATAAGGACCAAATGACACTATGATGTAACTAAAGCTACTTTGTCTACTGGAAAAAGATTACACAAACATGTAACTATTTTAAGATATTTTAGCATTTAGTGGCAGATCATGGAAATTTTATTCCCTTAAATCCACATTCTTTGAACCATACATAAATTTTTGAAATATATCTGTATATTTGGGCTTCCACTCATTTTTTTTTTCAGCTATTATTTATGGAACTGTTATTTATGGAACATTTAAAACCTAAAATGTTTTAAAAAGTGAGGCTAGGGGGCGCCTGGGTGGCTCAGTGGGTTAAGCCTCTTCCTTCGGCTCAGGTCACGATCTCAGGGTCCTGGAATCCAGCCCTGCAGGGGGCTCTCTGCTCAGCGGGGAGCCTGCTTCCCCTTCTCTCTCTCTCTGCCTCTCTACTTGTGATCTCTGTCAAATAAATAAACAAAATCTTAAAAAAAAAAAAAAGGTGAGGCTAGGGCATTGAACAAATAAAGTCATTGCACACATGGAGGTTTCTACAAATAATAAACAAAGGCAATGTCCAATGAGCATAGTTACTCTAAAGAAAAAAATTTAGGATTGGGGATAAAAACTGTTTTAGCCGTGGGAGTTAGAGAAGGTGATATCCCTCACCTTTGAGTATACCTTGTTCTTAACAAAATGGAATCTTACTATCTGTTCTATTCTTCCCCTTGCTTGGTTCATTTCTCAGTGTACTTACAGACATCTTTTCTCATATGAGCATGTACAGATTTGATTCATTCTTTTTCTATATTAAGTGATATAGATTACATGGATATTCCACAATTTATCCAACTAGTACCCAATTTTGAGCAATTAGACCATTTATCACAAAGATGGGATGAATAGATTTTTAAGCACTCATCTGTGTTTCTGTTGTATGATTTTAGGGAAGTAGAACCGCTGGGTCAAAGGATATGTATACTTTTAATTTTTATTGGTATTATCTATTGTCCTTTAATTAGGTTTTAACCAAATGTGTTTCCTCACCCGAACTGAGAATGGTCAAACTTTTAAACTCTTTCATATCTAACAAGCCAACTGATACATTATTGATATGATCACTGGAGACTATTTTTTTCCATGAATTGTCTGTCAAATTCTTTGCTTATTTTTCTCTTGGATTTTTATCTTTTTAATAATGATTTGTAGAAACTTTTAAAGATTTTATTTATTTATTTGACAGAGAGAGACACATCGAGAGAGGGAACACAAGCAGGGGAAGCTGGAGAGGGAGTAGCAGGTTTCCAGCCAAGCAAGGAGCCTGATGTGGGGCTTTTTATCCCATGACCCTGAGATCATGATCTGAGCCCAAGACAGAGGCTTAACCCACTGAGCCACCCAGGTGCTCCTGTAACTCTTTAATTACAATTATGGTTATATTCTGGGGTGACTGGGTGGCTCAGTCGTTAGGCATCTGCCTTCGGCTCAAGTCATGATCCAGGGTCCTGGGATCGAGCCCCACATCTGTCTCCTTGCTTGGTGGGGAAACCCACTTCTCCCTCACCGGCTTCCCCTCCTGTGTTCCCTCTCTCGCTGTGCCTCTGTCAAATAAATATATAAAATCTTTGAAAAAACAAAACGAAACCAAAACAAACAAACAAACAATTATGCTTATATTCTTAATCCGCATTTTTAGTTTTTGAAATACCATTTACTAAATAATCTGTCACTTTTTTTTTTTTTTTAAGATTTTATTTATTTATTTGACAGAGATCACAAGTAGGCAGAGGCAGGCAGAGAGAGAGAGGAGGAAGCAGGCTCCCCCCTAAGCAGAAAGCTTGATGGATGGGGGGCTCGATCCCAGGGCCTTGGGATCATGACCTGAGCCAAAGGCAGAGGCTTTAACCCACTGAGCCACCCAGGCGCCCCTAATCTGTCACTTCTTTACTGATTTGAAATTCTGCTCTCTTGTACACTGCATATGTACAAATTTAGTTTGAACATTTTGTTTTCTTCTGATGATCTATTTTTGTCAGGATGTAGTCATTATTTTAATTTCCATGGTTCAATAGGATATTTTGATATCTGGTACAGTAATTTCTCCTAATTAATCCTTCTTTTCCCTCAATTTTATTCACTGCTCTGAGGACTTTATTGCCCTAGATAAGCTGTATTCTCAAATTTTCAAGTTTCCCACAAAACAAGATTCATCTGTCAGCTAATTTTTAAAAAAATGACATTATATCAAATATGAAAAGATGAGACAGAATGAGCTATAACAAATCAAAAGGAGAAAGCAAATGGCATTATCTGTGATGATTTGTTTGCGTACCTGGAAAACATACAAGAACTAATTAAAAGCCTCTAGAGAGTTCAACATTGGGGGTCAGATACATATACACAAAATACAATAATAACTTGCTTTTTCAGTGGCAAGAGCAAGCCAGTGTAGCTGTTTCCCATTTAGGCCCATGGGCTTGAGGTACCCTTAGCTTTATTCAGAGAATTTAGGCCAAAATTCAGATGCTGAGTTTTATAGACCTTAATGGGTTGCAGCTGAAGGAATTAAAAACTCTCGTGAAAGCTACAAGTAATTGCTATCTGGCAAGAATAAACATTTTACTAGTCTTTAAGTGGACTGTTCCTTTTCTAGGAAAACCTAAGTGTCTTCCAGTTACATAAGATGTCTCAAAGAACTGGGGGAGGGATGGATGTAAAAGGCAGGTGTTGGAGAGAAAGTTGCATCTCTCTGGCCTGGGATGCTTTGGGACAAGATGGTTGTTTCCTGCTCTGACCCTGGCTGGGTAGTGAGGACCTGTGGTTTGAGAGCAGAGCACAGAACAGGGCCTGCTTCAGGGGCAAGCTGTGTACAGTTCAGGGCCCTGTGCTTAGAAAAATCCCACATTTGGTTTAATTGTTCTGCTACTGCCTTTTTAAAATTAATAGTAACTTTTGAACAGGGAGCCCACATTTTAGTTTTGTACTGCACCCTGTAAATTATGTAAATGGTCTACACCAGAAGTCTGTCAAAGTGTCTCACAAGACACTGAGATGACAGTGAAATGTGAACTAGCTCCACCAGGGTCAGAAGAGGGGAGAGCACTATCTTGCCACTTTTCCTGGAATTCAGATTCAGTCTTCTCCCTCAAGGTTGGAGGTTTTTTTTTTTTTTTTTTTAACAAAACAACAACAAAAAAACCTTGTTACCTTTTCATTATGTCTTACAACTAGTTGTTGTAACTATTCAAAAAAAAACCCCTCAGTGTTGGGGTGCCTGGGTGGCTTAGTGGATTAAAGCCTCTGCCTTTGGCTCAGGTCATGATCCCAGGGTCCTGGTATTGAGCCCCACATCCGGCTCTCTGCTCAGCAGGGAGCCTGCTTCCTCCTCTCTCTGCCTGCCACTTTGTCTACTTGTGATCTCAATCCGTCAAATAAATAAATAAAATCTTAAAAAACAAAACAAAACAAAAAAACCTCAGTGTTGTAAAATTGGATCCTGGGGTAAAAACAAATGTGGGTTTTCCCTTCATACGCCTTTGAATACAAAGAAAGGAGCCGTTTTCTTTACAGTTGAATAAGAGAATTTGACTAATTTAGCTAAATAAGAGAGAAAAAGAGCAGGGAGACTATGTTTTGTAAAGAGGAGTAGCCATGCAAGGGGACTCCACAAATGAAGAGAGGATGCCTTTTCCATCCACCTTTGGGCATGGAGGTTTGAAGACCTTTGGAATTGGGGGAGAGCTGCCTTCCTCAGTTACTTCCACTTCCAGTGATGGCTTGACAGCAAACTAATTAAAAGTTGTGTCACGGTCTTTTATCTTCAGACAGAGCTGCGGGGACTCCTCGGTCTTTGAGCCTGGATGGAACACATAGCTTCACGGGGTGTTTCTGACGCTGCGGGACTGTGAATGCAGGATCTTCCCTCTCTTGTAATTAAACGTATCAGTAGTAGGGGAAAAGGAAGCTGACATCCTGAGAGGACCAGAGAGGAGAGACAGAACAATACCTGCCTAGCCTTGATTGTTTTCCTTTTAGATTATCATGGCTTCTCTTTAGTAAATCCCTTTTGTGATGAAGATGGTTCAAGGTAGGGGGCACCTGGCTGGCTGAGTCAGGAGAGCATGTGACCTTTGATCTTAGTCTTGTGAATTCAAGTCCCACAATGGATGTAGAGCCAACTTAAAAAAAAAAAAAGTTGGTTCAGGCTGGGTTTCTGTGTCTTGCCCCCAAAGAATCCTTGATTTTATCACCAGAGTTTATCCCTTTTTTACAAATGAAGGGACTGAGAGACTTTCTTTGTTTCAAGCCCTTAAGGCAGGGTATTGGGAAAAGTTTTCAATTAGAAAGTATTGTGCCTCTGATAAACCTCACTGGCTACAGTATTGCTACTGAGCTCAGGCCTCTTTGTTAAGTGATTTATCCAAGGTCCGTGGCCCTGGACTTTTTCTATTGCATACCTTCCCCACCCCTCCAGCCAGTTGGGTTTATTTCGAAATAATATAGAAACCCTTCCCTTATATTATTGAGGATTCAATTGCCTAAAGCAAAACACAGCTTTGACTAAATAAACCAAGAATTTATTGGTAGATCGTAGTTTAGAAGGAGGAATGGCATGCTCAGCCTTGAGAAGTTCTCGAACCAGAAAAGCCTAGATCTTACTGGTGGGGAACTACTTGTGTGCTACTTTTGTCAGGCCTTGCCAGCAGATGATTGGGTCCAACCCCCTGCAGTACCTGTGTGCCTCATGTCAGCAGTAAAGTTCCCCATAAGAGTTTCCCTGGTTTCTTACTGAGAGGTGTCCATCCCTCTAGCCATGAGTGGGATCCTGCTGTCAGCCCCCAAACAGAAGGAAGAAGAATAGAGAAACAGATTAAGGAATGAATGTTGAGCAGAAAAAACAAAAGATGTACGTTTTCTCCTGTAACAGGACCTTTCTATAAGATGTTTTGGGTAAGTTATTCACAGCTAGATGCAGTGGGAGAAGTCACAGTGTTTTGCGAAGGCCTACAGTGAACAAACATTTAGAGATGTCATATAGCAAACCCAAAGGAAAGTAGCTCTCTTTCTCTCTCCCTTTTCTGGTGAGGATGATAAACATCTGTGCTCTAAATCCAATCATTTTAATTGCCAAAGCAGATACGTGGTAAATTATTAAAGTTCATATGAAATTCAGAATCGTGCTCCAATATTTCTTTTTTTTTTTTTTAAGATTTTATTTATCTGAAAGAGTGAGAGAGAGTACAAGCAGGGGGAGTAGCAGAGGGAGGGGGAGAAGCAAACTCCCTGCTGAGCAGGGAGCTAGACTTAGGGCTTGATCCCAGGACCCTGGGATCATGACCCCAGCAGAAGGCAGTTGCTTAACCACCTGAGCCACCCAGGTGCCCCATCTAATATTTCTTCTAGATGTATCCCCATGGTCGAACTGCTTTGGCTTCCCACCCCCTCCGCTGCACCTTCCCCAGCAGTGTGGATCTTAAGGCTAAAATAACTTTATTCCAGTCTTAAATGAATAGTCTTAAAACCACACCTCCTTGGGGCGCCTGGGTGTCTCAGTGGGTTAAGCCACTGCTTTGGCTCAGGTCATGATCTCAGAATCCTGGGATCTAGCCCCGCATGGGGCTCTCTGCCCAGTGGGGAGCCTGCTTCCTCCTCTCTCTCTCTGCCTCTCTGCCTGCTTGTGATCTCTCTCTGTCAAATAAATAAAATCTTTAAAAAAACAAAAAAAAACAAAAAACCACACCTCCTTTTAAAAAACACGAGTAATCCATTTTTATTCTGGAAAAACTTGGAAATAGAGATTAAGAAAAAATAATGCATATTACTTTCTAGGATCTACAGAAAGAGATGTTCGAAGTGTTAAGGGCCTATTTAGCCAGAGCTATTCCATCTGGTTGAACAATGACTTTGTTGTTTATACCGTAAAACTTAAACTGTCCCTGCCCCACTTCCCCCCAGGGGACTTAAAAACAAGTCCCAGAAACCAGTCCCAGGTAACAAAGCCCAAATACATGGGTGGATCAGGCCAGGTGGAGGTATCCAATCAGTGGGGGCGCAAACTGTCTCCCTAGCTACCAAGGAGTATGGGACCCCCCCCCCCGCCTTTTGGGTGCCAATTCTGACCAAGGTGATAGGCTAGTTCAAATATCTACTATAGGGTAAATTGTAATTCAGTTGGTCACTTATGTGTGACCTAGCATGACTGTGCAGCTTTCTCTGTGTGTTACAATCTCATTGGCCACCTTTGTATGGCTGGGCCCAATCACATGGCCTTTGCCCTTAAAAGCTAGTCTGTAAGGCAGAGAGGGATTGCCACTTTGCAAGAGATGGCCCAGAATTGTGGGTTTGATTCTTGATGCTTGGCGCGAAATAAAGCTTTGCTTGACCTTTGCTTTGTATCAGTCTTGCTCCTTTGATTACGAACCCAACAGAAGTTCTCTCTTGGGAAATGTAGATATTACCTATATCCATAACTGACCCTTAGCTAATTATAACACATTGTAAAATATCACAGACAATATGTCTGGGGAATGTTATTTATTTATTTATTTATTTATTTAAAGATTTTATTTATTTATTTGTCAGAGACAGAGGGAGAGAGTGAGCGAGCACAGGCAGACAGAGAGGCAGGCAGAGGCAGAGGGAGAAGCAGGCTCCCTGCTGAGCAAGGAGCCCGATGTGGGACTTGATCCCAGGACGCCAGGATCATGACCTGAGCCTAAGGCAGCGGCTTAACCAACTGAGCCACCCAGGTGTCCCTGTATGGGGAATTTTAAATTGTCCTTAGCAGCATTAGTAGATACTTGCTGCTTGGTGATTTTTTTTTTTTTTTAGCAACACCGTTTATTGAGGGTCACACATTGTGCTTTTAGATAATATTTCTAAAAGTTGACATATAATTTACATAGAATAAAATGGGCAGATTTTGGACTACATAGCTTGATGAATTTTACCAAGTACACATACCCATGTAACCACAAAAGATGCAGCCACCACCTAAATCAGGATATAGAACATTCTCTCAGTGATTTTACAAATCATAAAACTATAGTACACAGCAAGAGGCATGATTAAGAGTTCTACCATCACAGTGGTCTACCTGGAATGGAATGAGGGTGTCCATTTTTTGCATTTCACAGTGTCCACATCACTCTCAGCCCCATGTCTCTGTCGTTAGGGGGAGGATACTCTTCTATGTGTACAATTCTGAGAGTGCCTTATAGCAATCATTAGCATCATAAAAAGGTGTCACTTTCCCTGAAGAATATATTTACTTTTGAAAATTTGAATTTTGCATAAGCCTACTTTCTCTATTCAGTCTATGCAAAATTATTTCTTTTTTTTAAAGATTTTATTTATTTATCTGAGAGAGCACAAGTGAGAAAGAGAGAGAGATGAGCTGGGGGGTACTGGGACAGAGTGAAATGCAGACTTCCCACTGAGCAGGGAGCCCTATGTGGGCCTCTATCCCAGGACCCTGGGATCATGACCTGAGCTGAAGGTTAGATGCTTAGCCCCCTGAGCCACCCGGGTACCACTAGACAAAATTATTTCTTAAGTGTTCTACTTTTAAAAAGTTTTACTTTTGGTGAATGCAAAAAAATATGGGAAAACACACACTTTACTTATATGTTCTTAGGTATGTGGATTGAACATTTATAAAACATTTATTGTAAATTATAAAAATTTGTCAATGTCTTTGAATGTTTATCTTAAGTTTTTAAAACTGTGAAGAAAATAACATTTTGTATCATTAAATGTTCTCCTCTGTAATTGATAAAACAACTGAAAAAGGCTTTTTCCAAGTTATCAGTGCTACTAGTGAAAGAACTCAAACTCTCCAAAGTACTTCAAAATAAATTCCTCTAACTCATTTTTCGTTGGAGTGCTAATCAGAAAAATATCAAATCAAGATTCGGTTTATATGGTGTGTAAAGCAGAAATAAAATAGTAATTATACTTTGTTTTATGAATAAGAATGGCAAGATGGCTTTTCTCCACAAAAAAACATATAGTCTAAGAGCCCTTCTTCCTTCCTTCCTTCCTTCCTCTCTTTTTCTTTCTTTCAGATTTATTTATTTGATAGAGAGGAAGAGAAAGCAGTGGGGAGGAGAGGGAGAGAGAGAATCTCAGGCAGACTCTGGGCTGAGTGTGGAGCCCATCACAGGGCTCAGTCCTAGGACCTTGATACAACCACTTGAGATGAAAGCAGAGTTGGATGCTTAAACAGCTGCGCCACCCAATTGCCATTAAGAGCCCTTCTTTAATATTGAGAAGCTTGCCTTCTTGTGAGAAGCATTTTGTATAGTGTCAGTTTAGGTTCAAGGTAGGCTCTGGAGTGGTCAACAGATCCTTTTCTTATACTTGCTATCAGTAAGTGTGCCATAAAGATTTTCTTTTTGCACCATCTAGTCTTTATCAGTCTTTTGAGAATTTGGTAAAATGTGAATTAACTTTGGAGATGGTTAAGATTTGCTTCAAATTTCCAAGTATTACTAGCATCTGTAAATCTTGTCCACTTCAGGTGTTACAGTTTTCCATCCATCACGTTAGATCAGGACAATTTTTGTGACATTCATTGATCTTTCTCTGCATTTAAGAAATACTGTTACTTTTCCATTTCTTTCTTCCTCTTCTTTTTTAAAGACCTTATTTATTTATTTGACAGAGAGACTGAGCATAAGTAAGGGGAGTGGCAGGCAGAGGGAGAGGGAGAAGCAGACTCCAGGCTAAGCAAGAAGCCTGTCATAGGAATTGATCCCAAGATATTGGGATCACCGCCTGAGCCGAAGGCAGACACTTAACCAACTAAGCCACCCAGATGCCCCCTTTCCCATTTCTTCACTGAAGTTTCATGAACCCATTTAAAAGTGGATGTCATGGGGCACCTGGGTGGCTCAGTGGGTTAAAGCCTCTGCCTTCGGCTCAGGTCATGATCCCAGGGGCCTGGGATGGAGCCCCACATCGGGCTCTCTGCTCAGTGGGGAGCCTGCATCCTCCTCTCTCTGCCTGCTTCTCTGCCTACTTGTGATCTGTCTGTCAAATAAATAAATAAAAATATTAAAAAAAAAATGGATGTCATGAAGGGCTTTTTTTTAGTGGGGGAGTATAATTGTCATATAACATTTCTTTCAAGTATTCAACATAATGATTCCATATTTGTACAGATGGTGTCCAACTTACTATGGCTTGACTTAAAATTTTTCAGTTTTACAATAGTGTAAAAGAGGTATGCATTTCCTAGAAACTGTACTTCAGATTTTGAGTTTTGATCTTTTCCCAGATGTGATATTCTCTCTTAATGCTGGGCAGTGTCAGTGAACCATTGCTCCCAGTCAGCCACATGATGGTGAAGGCAACTGACAGACTTACAGTTGTAAGTTCCTATCTATAGAACCATTGCTTTTCACTTTTAGTGAAGTACTCAATAAAATACATGAGACATTCAATGCTTTATTATAAAAGAGGCTTTATATTAGATGATTTTGCCCAACTATTAGTTAATGTAAGTATCCTGAGCATATTTAAGTTCTGCTAGGGTATGGTATGATGTTCCGTAGGTTAGGTGTATTAAATGCATTTTTGACTTATAATATTGTTAACTTGCAATATTGTTAACTTGTTTATTGGGACGTAACCTTATGGGCTGTAACCCCGTGATAAACTGAGCAAGATGTGTATTGCAAAAAGAACACTACAATAGGTCTAGTTAACATTCAAGTGAAGGGCTTCTTATCCTTAATAAATCTTCAAAGTGAATTTTAATCCCCAGTATTTATTTTAATCCCCAGTATTTTTACATGAATATACTTACTGTGCTTGCAAGGTAAATTTTGAATATGGTGGATTTAATAGTCAGAGCTACTCATGTTGCGGGTGACAGAAACCAGAACCAAAATAACTGTGTAAAAAATGGGACTTAAGGGATGCCTGGATATCTCAGTCACTTAAGTGTCTGCCTTCAGCTCAGGTCATGATCCCAGGGTCCTGGGATGGATTCGTCCATTGGGGTCCCTGCCCAGTGAGGAGCCTGCTTCTCCCTCTGCCGGCTGCTCCCATTGCTTGTGTGTGTGCACTCTCTTTCACTCTCTGACAAATAAATAAAATCTTCTTTATTTTTTTTAAAGGTTTTATTTATTTATTTGACAGATAGAGATCACAAGTAGGCAGAGAGGCAGGCAGAGAGAGTGGAGGAAGCAGGCTCCCTGCTGAGCAGAGAGCCCAATATGGGGCTCAATCCCAGGACCCTGGGATCATGACCTGAGTGGAAGGCAGAGGCTTTAACCCACTGAGCCACCCAGGCGCCCCATAAAGATTTTATTTATTTACTTGAGAGAGAGATAGCAAGAGAGAGCACAAGCTAGGAGTGGGGATACAGGGAGAGAGAGAAGCATGCTCCCCGCTGAGGCAGGGAGCCCAATGCAGGGCTCGATCCCAGGACCCCAGGATCATGACCCGAACTGGAGGCAGAGGCCTAATGACTGAGCCACCCAGGTGCCCCAAGTAAAATCTTTAAAACAAAACAAAAACAAACAATGTGACTTAGTGGATAGATACCTGCAGATGCCAAAGCAGGGTATTTCTAGGCACCTAGGCCCAGAACCAGGGATGGGGTGTCTTTTACAAGACAAGCTAGTCTCTACTTTCATCTGAGTAATAGCCTCATTCCCTCAGACCCCTCTCTGTGTCTGGGAATATGGCCACTAAAACCTTGGTAACACATTTTTATAATTCCACAGCCTGTCAAAGACAAAAACCAAACAATAAGTAAATTGGTTTTATTTAGGGTGTTACAATAGGGAGAGCATCCCGTACTTGAAGATCATTACCTTCAGCAGGGTAGTTTATCTGGAGACTTTTCTAGGGAGGAGTAGACAACTTCCAGGTAGGGCGATTTTATAGTTATGATTATTTTTGTAATCAAGGGGTCTCAATCAGTGAGCTGAACAGGAAATGTTTCTGTCTAGCAGGTTTCATTGTGACAGACAATTCACAGAATCATTTATGAGTCAAGGTGAATGGGAAATCTGAGAGTTTCTGTCTGGCCTTATCATAGGTAAACAAGGGGGTCATCTGTGGGACTTATCTAAGTCACATGAGGAAGAGTGGTTCTTTGTAGTAAAGTTGGAACATGAAAGGGTCACAGATATTTCTTAACCTTCTCAATTTTCTAGGAACACAGGGCTTAGGTAAAGTTCAACATTGTCACGGAGAAGGCAGAAGGGAAGTTTCCCACCAGCTGCAAGAGATATATTTTTGGAACATTGCCATGTGCTTGGTCCCATGTTCATCTGCCTATCTCTAGTTCAGTCTTTGTGGCCCAGTGGGTGGAGGTTCTTTGAGTGATTCAGCCTGGGTTAGAGTGCTGAAGAGAAGGGGTAGTGGGGAGACAAAGAAAATGGTTTTACAGTGGGGAAATGGTCACAGTTCAATTCCAAGTGTGCTAAATGTGTGACTTTTTCCTTATAGTCAAAGAAGACACAAACCTTTGTTCAAAATTCAATAATGGCACTGTAGTAATAATATTGGTAAATTACCATGAATCCTTTTTCCCGAACTTGAAACAGTCTGAGGAGTCTCACATGATGTTTCCATCCTCAGAAAAATTGCCCCTCCCTCTTTCCAATTAATGCTATAAAATGGAAACCACAACTAGTAAGAGCCTTTAGTGATATTTCAAACTACTCATTCTTTTTGACAATTTTTTTCAAGGTACTTGCCACTCTCCCATTCTACTTCAAGGCCAAATTGGGCTTACTGTCATTTGGAAATCACAGATCTCTCTGCTCGCACCACCTAAGAGCTTTAAGGCCTCGTGGTTTATGAATCCGCATGGGGAGGAAACAGCCCTCCCATAACAACGTCCCAGGGAAATCTGACTGCAACTCAGCAGTTGGTGCCCAAAGAAGCAAATACAGACTGGAAGCCCTAGAGTCTAAAGAACACTTAAGGGTTTTGAAATGCTTCACCTTTCCATTTCACCAGTCCAACTGCTGGTAGGGAAACAGAGAAACCCCATCCTGTGAAGGATCAGGATTCCACTTTATAGTTAGTTGGACTTAATTTAGTCACAAGTGATTTAATTAGGCAGCTATTGGTGAAATCTTTGTGGTTTCTGAGAGCTTCAGCGCCCTTAGAGAACTTAACTTGGCTCCATTATCCAGGCTCTGAGGTAATTCATAGATTACTCTATATTGGATGGTTTGATTCCTCTTAAGCTTCTCTTTGTTCCTACCCCAGGTCATACTGGGATATTTGAAGCTGCATCCCCCTTGCAGGTAACTCCCAGAAATCCTGTCATACCCAGTGTCTTACGAAAGGTGTACGGGCTTCAGTGGAAGGTAGTCACATGTAGCTGAAGTGACTGCTCCCTATCTCTCTCTGGCAATTACTAATCTCCCTTACTTCATCTCAGATCAAGACCCCTCTGTCCATAGTCCTTACATGTCACCTTGTAAAATGCTTCAGAAAGTGAGAAATAGTAAATACCCATCCTCCAATATAATAAATGCTCCCCCAATAAAATGTTTATTTTCTTTCTTTCTTTCTTTCTTTCTTTCTTTCTTTCTTTCTTTCTTTCTTTCTTTCTTTCTTTTCTTTCTTTCTTTCTTTCTTTCTTTTTTTAAGATTTTTATTTATTTATTTGACAGACAGAGAAAGCACAAATATGCAGACAGGCAGGCAGAGAGAGAGGGAGAAGCAGGCTCTTCACTGAGCAGGGAGCCCGATGCAGGGCTCAATCCCAGGACCCTGGGATCATGACCTGAGCTGAAGGCAGATGCTTAACCAACTGAACCACCCAGATGCCCCCCTCTCTTTAGTCTTTACAAGAGCCTCCTTCTTACTTGTCTTTTCTTGGGAGACCACACCTTCCATTTTTACCTTGAAGTAATTCTGTACTCTCCCCAAAGCAAATTCCCCATCTCCCCTTCACTCCTTCCCACTTGTTCTACAGAGACTAGAGGGTTGAGGTGGTTGGAATGGGGAGGCGGCTGGAAATACCTAGGCTGTTTCTGCGTCCTCTGTTGGGGAAGTTGGCTGATTCCAGTTACTGGTAATTTTCTTTTTTCTTTTAAAATATTTTATTTATTTATTTATTTGACACAGAGAGAGAGAGAGAGAGAGAGAGAGAGAGATCACAAGTAGGCAGAGCAGCAGGCAGGGAGAGAAGGAGAGGCAGACTCCCTGCTGAGCAGAGAGCGTGATGCGATGTGGAGCACCATCCCAGGACCCTGAGACCATGACCTGAGCTGAAGGCAGAGGCTTAACCCGCTGAGCTACCCAGGCACCCCTACTGGCAATTTTCTTTCTTTCCTTTTTTTTTTTTTTTAATAGATTTATTTATTTATTTATTTATTTGACAGACAGAGATCACAAGTAGGCAGAGAGGCAGGCATAGAGAGAGGAGGAAGCAGGCTCGCCGCTGAGCAGAGAGCCTGATGGGGGGCTCCATCTGGTGACCCCGGATCATGACCTGAGTGGAAGGCAGAGGCTTTAACCCACTGAGCCACCCAGGTGCCCCACCTACTGGCAATTTTCTTAAGGGTGGGGATTAGTGAGCACTTTTTAATTCTCATCTATGGGCCTAATCACCAATTCTTTGACAACTGGGAAAAATCTCATGCAATATCTGTTAGAGCAACAACAATAACAACCATCTCTAATTTTTCTTTCTCTTAAAAATTTTGTGTTTAAGTAATCTCTACACCCAACATGGGGCTCAGATATACAACCCTGAGATCAAGAGTCTCACACTCTTCTGAGCAAGGTAGGCACCACTGTAACAATTCTTGATAACTCATTATGTGTCAGGCAATGCGTATTTTATATTAACTGTCTTATTTAATCATTATATCAACCCTATGAGATAGATCTTATTATTTCCTCCATTTTTCAGGTGAGGAAACTGAGGCTTAGAGAGTATTAAGCCATTTGCCTAAAGGCACTCCAGCACTTCTGGTGTAACTGGTACTCAAGCACAGGTTATAGGGCTACAGAACCTTAAACAGTCTACTATCTTCCCTCTCCTGTACACCCATGGGGAGCATGCTTGCCTACCATTTTTGGAGGGTATATTTTTTGAAATACAAATATTGTCACAGGGTATACATATTTCCCAAAATGCTCTCTGGGAAGTCTGAACAGATCATGACTTTTCACATGCCTTTGCCAGTGCTTGCTTGCTTTCTTTCTTTCTTTCTTTCTTTCTTTCTTTCTTTCTTTCTTTTTTTTTCTTACAGAGAGAGATCACAAGTAGACAGAGAGGCAGGCAGAGAGAGAGAGAGAGAGAGAGAGAGAAAGAAGCAGGCTCCCTGCTGAGCAGAGAGCCCGATGCGGGACTCGATCCCAGGACCCTGAGATCATGACCTGAGCCGAAGGCAGCGGCCCAACCCACTGAACCACCCAGGCGCCCCTGCCAGTACTTTCTAATGTAATTTTTTTCCAATATGGTTTGGGAAAATGGAATTACATTATTGTTTTAATTAACTCTTTTAGAAATTCCAAGTGAGGTTGAGCATGATGTGTTTATTAGTCATTTGTATTCATTCTTTATTGAATTTTGTCTTCTAATCTTTGGCCTATTTTTCTCTGATTGACTTATAACAACTGTGCATAGATCAAGAATATTGCCTCTTTTTAAAAAAATTTTTATTTTTTTAAAGATTTTATTTATTTGACAGATCACAAGTAGGCAGAGGCAGGCAGAGAGAGAGGGAAGCAGGCTCCCTGCTGAGCAGAGAGCCCGATGTGGGGCTTGATCCCAGGACCGAGAGACCATGACCTGAGCTGAAGGCAGAGGCTTTAACCTACTGAGCCACCCAGGCACCCCTCTTTTTTTTTTTTTTTTAAAGATTATTTATTTGACAGAAAAAGAGATTACAAGTAGGCAGAAAGGTAAGCAGAGAGAGGGGTGAAGCAGGCTCCCCGCTGAGCAGAGAGCCCCATGCAGGGCTCTATCCTAGGGCCCTGAGACCAAGACCTGAGCCAAAGGCAAAGGCTTAACCCACTGAGCCACCCAGGTGCCCCAGAATATTGCCCCTTTGATGTCATATATATTAAGAATATTTCTTTCCAAAGTTGAAAAAGAATAATTTTTTTTTATTGTGGTAAAATATATGTAACATAAAACTTACCATTTTAACCAGTTTTAAGAGTACAAGGGGATGACATTAAGTGTATTCAGAATGTTGTATAACTATCACCACTAATGATTTCCAGAACTTTCTCACCATCCTAAACAGAAATTCTGTACCCATTAAAAAGTAATTCTGGATTTGCTCCTCCCCACATCCCCTGGGTGTCTCTATTTTATGTTTTGTGAATTTGTTTATGTACCCCATGTATGTGGAATCATACAATCTTTGTCCTTTTGTGTCTGACTTATTTCACTTAGCACAAAGTTTTCAAGGTTTATTCATATTGTAGCCTGTATCAGCATTTCATTCCTGTTTTATGGCTGAATAATACTCCACTATATGTGTATCCTATATTTTGTTTATCCATTCACCTGTTGATGGATACTTGGTTTGTTTCCACATTTGGGTTATTGGAATAATACTGCTGTAAATATTGCGGTACAAATATCTGTTTGAGTCCTTGCTTTTAATTCCTTTATGTGTATAAGTAGGAGTAAAATTGCTGGATCATATGGCAATTCTATGGTTAACTTTCTGGACAAAATACGATTTTTTTCCAAGTATGATTTTTAAAAATGTAAAAACATACATGTGTCAGTGATTTATGTAACTAATTAATGAGAGGACCAGCAGGATCTTAAAGCTGATTCATTGAAGAACTCAAGAGGCTGAAGTGAAGAAAAGAATACTGAAGTCAGAATGCTAAATTAAATACAAAACTTATTATTCTACCCGGCAATAAAAGAATAGTCTTTGGAAATATCTTTTCCACCAGACAGAAATCATTTGCATCTCTCCCATACAAACACCATTTGTACTTTATCAATCTTTGGTAAAGTTAAGGTCTAATTTTACAGTCTGGGCCCTAATCAACAGAAAATGGCAAGTCAAAGTTACATTTTTCCTAGAGAATCATAGGTCCCTTAGGTAAGTTCATTAAACAATGTCTTTTTTTTTTTTTTTAAAGATTTTATTTATTTGTCAGAGAGAGTGAGCACAGACAGAGGCAGAGGGAGAAGCAGGCTCCCTGCTGAGCAAGGAACCAGTTGTGGGACATGATCCCAGGACACTGGGATCATGACCTGAGCCAAAGGCAGCCGCTTAACCAACTGAGCCACCCAGGCGTCCCCCATTAAACAATGTCTTAATATGATACTGAAAGAGCAAGCAGTAATCTTTTTTCCTTAACTCCAAATTTTGGGTAGACTTTCTTAATTTTGTATTTATTGCCCTTAATTTTGTTGATGGTCACTTTTGCATTCCATTTTCTATCTTTTACTGTTTTTGTCTTTTGGTGTTATGCTTCTAAAAGTTCACTGTATGTCTGTGTTTACATAGATATATATGTATATGTATGTAATCACCTTTTTTCCTGGTAATTATATGATTTTATTTTTGAAATTTAACTTATAAACCTTTCACTATTTTACTTACCGGGAATATATTCTTGTGTATGTGGTTTGAGGTAGGGATCTAAATTATTTTCCCAGATGGTTAGGTAGTGTCTGCAAATCGCCTTCTTCATGACTCGTTTGAAATGCCATGTATCATATGCTAAATTCTCATATTTGGGTTTGTTTCTAGACTTTTATTTCTGTTTGTCTTTGCCTTTTCTGGTACAAATATCATCTGCTTCATTATGTTGTGTTCTCTTTTGCAGTTTTGACAGTATGGTTCTGCCACCAGCAACCACATCTTCAGTGAAGAGAACTCCTCACAGAGGAGGGGCAAGTGGCTAGCCCTGCTTCACAAGGCAACTCTCATATATTGCAGTGAAAATGGGTTGCATGCTTTAGAAAATTCCACAGAACATTCAAGGGAAAGACACTCACCTAAGCAATCAAAGTAAATGCTGAATTGCATGTATGTGTGTGTGTACACAGGTGCGGGTGGACTTTGGCTTGCCAAAGTGGGAGGTGGGGGGTATGGAGGAGCCATTCGTGAACTTCCTCTCCACTATGTGGTTATACTTCCTGTTCATTTATATAGAGATGCCAAGTTGTCACTCTGTTCCCCCGACTTTGGAAGGGTATTTCACTATTTTTTTTTAAGATTTTATTTATTTATTTGACAGAGAGAGAGAGATCACAAGTAGGCAGAGAGGCAGGAACAGAGAGAGGGGGAAGCAGGCTCTCCGCTGAGCAGAGATCCCAATGTGGGGCTTGATCCCAGGACCCTGGGATCATGAGCTGAGATCATGAGCTGAGCCAAAGGCAGAGGCTTAACCTACCAAGCCACCCAGGTGCCCCGGGTATTTAACTTTTGAAGAAGAAGCCCTAAGCCACTACTCTTTCTTTAAAAGTAAACTTTTGCCTTTAGTGGAAATGTCACAAAATATATTCATATTAGTAGACTAAATCATATTCTTAAAGGGCTGGTCATCTGGTTTTGAAGAATGAGTTACTAACCACATTTCTGTTCTCTGCTAAGTACCTTATTTTTTCAAAATATTTGAATACTCAAAGTTCTTATCTTGCTTTTTGTTTCATCATATCTCCATTATGGAAGCTTCTTCTGGTCACCTTTCTCAGACTTGTCTTTGTCTCGTCTGGAAAAGAAATTCTGATACTTCTGGTGAGCTCAGATTGTTCCCACTCTTGTTTTAGCTTGTTGCTGCTGCCTTTGACCATAGGATGGATTCCTCTGCCATTGCCAAGAAAACATGTTAGTCACTCTCCTCTGAGTTAGGGCTTACACTGCTGGCATTTAGTTGCAAACTGTAATCGTCTGTGATATATTTAGATTTTGAACTCACATTGCATTTGAACATTAACTACATGTCAACACGAAAATAAATGGTCCTCCGCTGGTTATGAAGCAATGTATGGGCAGGATGCCACATGAGCTTGTTCATAGTAACACTGTTCATAGTAACACTGATTCTTAATCAAATTACAAATATTCACAATCCAAGCTCCAGATTCCTTTTGAATCAGGAAACCTAAGGAGTAAATTATTATCAGAGGTCACAGGGCCTTTAAAAATCATTTTCTTTTGAGTTTTAGAGTGAGAAGCAAAGAACATTCTGTCATGAGAAATGAGTTGTCTTTAGCTGAAGGGAAACCATCCAGCATAGGATATGCTGAGTCCTGATGAATTTGATAGTTAAGATGAAAGCTCTTGTAAAGGGGTGCCTAGGTGGCTCAGTGGGTTAAAGCCTGTCTTCAGCTCGGGTCGTGATCCCAGGGTCCTGGTATTGAGCCCCACATCCGACTCTCTGCTCAGCAGGGAGCCTGCTTCCTCCTCTCTCTCTCTCTCTCTCTCTGCCTGCCTCTCTGCCTACTTGTGATCTCTGTCAAATGAATAAATAAAATCTTAAAAGAATAAAAAAAGCTCTTCTAAAGAAAATTCCATAATTTGTAGAAATGAGATGGCAGCTGTTCCTATGGCAAAATATCTCCCTGGGGGTCCCCTAATGCTCAGGAACAGGACAAACCCCAGCAAAGTTGGACTGAGCAGGTCAGAATCATGTTTGTGCTTTCAGAGGACCAATTTCACAGGCAGGATATTGGGGTGGAGCTGGAATGTCGGCTACTAGAAGTGGGAGAAGACCGAGTTGAGTCTGTGGCTGGTTGAAGAGAGGCTTCAGCCAGTAGGTAAGGACATTGTGAGTCAGGCCAGAAAAGTGGTTGTTGATTAAGGGATCTAGATAAAGGGGTTACATTTTCATGATGGTATCAGCTTGTGTGGCCTGGAGAAATCTGTGCAAAGTTCATTCATCATGTTAAGATTAGAAAGAGGGAAAGGACTGGGATTGATAATGGCACTGGGAGACATAAAATAACTGTCATCGGACCAAATAAGGACAAAAAAGTGGGGGTTTGGGGAAGGACTTCAGAATGAGATCATGGTACTACTATGTAAGCAGACAGTTTGATAGAATGAGGAACAACCCTAACATTTCAGCTAGTTTGGACTTACAAGTGAATTATAATGATAGTTTTTATATCAAAAGAGTATTAGGATTAGAAAAATACTTGAGGAGAAAAGGAGACTTAATTGTGCTCTCCTATTCCTTAAACAGTATTTCTTTCTTTTTTTTTTTTTAAAGATTTTATTTATTTATTTGACAGACAGAGATCACAAGCAGGCAGAGAGGCAGGCAGAGAGAGAGGAGGAAGCAGGCTCCCCGCTGAGCAGAGAGCCCGATGTGGGGCTCGATCCCAGGACCCTGGGACCATGACCCGAGCCGAAGGCAGAGGCTTTAACCCACTGAGCCACCCAGGCGCCCCCTAAACAGTATTTCTTATGTTTATACTTTTATTTATGATTAAACAAGATTTTCTATAGGACTTATCAGTGTCTGTAAAATGGCAATATTAATCTATTATTATCTCATGGAACATTGTCCCATGGAACACAGTTTGGGAAGGGTTGATTTAACCTAATGTCAAAAAAGCGCAACCCAATTCAAACATCCTATGTAACAAAAATAGTGAAAGGGAGAAATGTATTCCAAAATGTCAACAATGAATGACTGGTTGAGTTATTTCTCCTCCTCCTCCTCTTCTTCTTCTTCTTCTTCTTTTTTTTTTACTCCTGTTACTCTTTTGTGTTTCCATATTCAGTGTAGTGACTCTTTCACTAAGAACATGAACTTAAAGAAAATAGGGGCATAGTTATAGGAGACCAATGTCGAAGTCAGGAGTTTTAAAAGCTGTGTAACCTTGAAGCAGTTCCTTAACCTCACCAGGTCTGTCTTCTCATCTATCAAATTGGAAAATAATATCTACCTGCCTGGGTTTGTTATGAAGATTAATTGAATTATGATATCCAAATCACCCAGTACAAGGTCTGGCACATGCTGTAGAATCTAGAGATGAGGTAATTACAATTATTATTGAATTGCTAGAATTTTAGAGTTTAAGAAGGGAGTACTGGCTGGGTTAAGGGCACTTAGTCCACTCAGTGTGATATCACAAAGGCCCAAAACCACCATTATGAGAGTTTGTACCTTCCTCTTGAAGCAAAGAATTGCAGAAGCTGCTCCAGAGTGTAGGACCTAGTTCCACCGGACACTTGGCAGGGAAGATTACGAATTCCCAACTGAAAATCTTTTGTCTCATGTAGGGCAGTCTGTTAACACTGCATATTTAAAACAAACACCTTCCTGGTTGCTTAGAACTAAATTTAATCACTGTACCAGAGAAAGGCATGCAACAACTTCCTCCTTCTGAAATTCTCAAGATGCTCTGCTGAATGAAAGGAAGTTGTTCTGCAACCACGATGCCTTCAACATAAAATGTTCTGGCAACTTCATTGCTTCACACTTGTGATTCTTGGAATCTTGTCACTTTAGGTTCTTCACAATTCTTATTTATTTATTTATTTGACAGACAGAGATCACAAGTAGGCAGAGAGGCAGGCAGAGAGAGAGGAGGAAGCAGGCTCCCTGCTGAGCAGAGAGCCCGATGCGGGGCTCGATCCCAGGACCCTGGAATCATGACCTGAGCTGAAGGCAGAGGCTTTAACCCACTGTGCCACCCAGGCGCACCAAGGTTTTTCAGAATTCTTTGAATTATTTTTAAAGATTTTTTATTATTATTTATTTATTTGACAGAGAGAGAGATCTCCAGTAGGCAGAGAGGCAGGCAGAGAGAGAGGAGGAAGCAGGCTCCCTGCAGAGCAGAGAGCCCGATGTGGGCCTCGATCCCAGGACCCTGGGACCATGACCCGAGCCGAAGGCAGAGGCTTTAACCCACTGAGCCACCCAGGCGCCCGGTTTTTCAGAATTCTTAAATAGCTTTTTCTGACTTCATTTACTTAAATATCCCAGAATAGCCTCTTGAGCTATAAGTTTGATGATCCAGGAAACTATTTATAGCAGGATGAGTACTCTCCATGACTGATGTTATGTTTTATTTTGAGAAGGATAAATCATTAAAAAGATTGATAGGGCCAATGGTATTTTATACTTAAAGCGGAGCCAAGGCAGATAAGGTAGGTAGGTATGATCGTGGAACACAAAAAAGATATGGTTGTACTTTTTTGCCAGTTCAGTTAAGGCTGGGGAGGCCTCCCACATTCTAGAAGGAAGGCAGAGACAGAGTTCATAACCCGGACCTAGTGATATTTTATTTTTAAAGATTATTTATTAATCTATTTGAGAGAGAAAAAGAGAGAGAGAGAACAAGTCAGGCGAGGGGCAGAGAAAGAGAGACAGGCAGACTTGCTGCTGAGCAGAGAGGCTGACATGGGGCTCTATCCTATGACCCCGAGATCGTGACCTGAGCTGAAGTCAGACTCTTAACCAACTGAGCCACCCAGGTGCTCCCAGACCTAGTGACATTTTTTTTTTTTTAATTCAAGGTTTTTTTTTTTTTAAGATTTTACTTATTTGATAGAGATCACAAGCAGGCAGAGAGGCAGGCAGAGAGAGAGAGAGAAGGGGAAGCAGGCTCCCCGCTGAGCAGAGAGCCAGATGTGGGGCTTGATCCTAGGACCCTGGGATCATGACCCGAGCCGAAGGCAGAGGCCTTAACCCACTGAGCCACCCAGGCATCCCGACCTCGTGACATTTTAGGTAAACTCACTTCAGCCTGTAGCAGCCTAGCCTCTGTTTGCCCAGTGTTTGTAATGCAGAGCCGACAGACATAGGACTCTCTGTCATCATGAAGGCCCATACTGTTCTTGGCATTCATGGATATCATCCTAGGTAGGAGACAAATATAAGGTAGAAAGAGGTCAAGGTCAATTTTTTTTTAACCTTTTTATTGTGGTAAAATACACAGAACAAAATTTATTATTTTAACCATCTTGAAGTATACAAATCAGTGGCAGTAAGTACATTTGTACTGTTGTGTGATCACTAGTACTATCTCCAGAACTTTTTCATCATCCTAAACTGAAACTTTGTGCCCAT